GGCGCACCTTCTCCTCGCTCTGACAAACACACACATAAACACACACAAGTGCAAAGAAAGAAGAGGGACATTGAGGGCGATCACAAGTGAGGTGTAATCAGTGTAGTGTGCAACCAGCGAGTAGCAAGGGCACTGCAAATAGTCACAAATGTGTTTCTGGTATTCCCCATGTGGAGCTGAACTCAGATTGACCCTGAACTACACATGAACCTTGATGGTGTTCTTATTACACACTCACACACTGACAATAACATTCTCAATACCTTACACACATTGTCACACTATCGCAGCTTTATGTACTTTTATTGTAGATGACATTGTAAAGGCATTAAATATTAAAATGTTGCAAGAGAGAGCACATTAGCCTGAATCCATAACTCACCTTGCATTAAGATACATTTGTTTTGGTGTCACTTAACAACACAGTAGGATTGTAATGCATCCAAGGAAGCCTAAACATTGCAGAACAATTACACGGCACATTTATAAATATTGATTTATGTCAGGCTGAATTAACTGTGTTCAAATTCCAGTCAGGAACCCTCTATGACTAGTCTATGACTAGTGTTGTTACCTGTCGGTGCAGCGTGTCCTTAGTGGCCAGTTCATTCTCCAGTTTGTCGTTGAGGTCGTGGATGTGTGTGGTCTCCCGCTGAGCAGCCAGGTAGCGTTTCTCTAACGTTGTTATCCTCTCCTCCATATCTTCTCTCTGTGGGTGCAGAGACACGGCAACAAAAACAACAACAGGGGAATCATGAGAAACAGGTCTTCAGCTACATGCAACAGCAATAACCAGTGTACTTTATCTCTTCATGTATACATTATCAGTATACATCTTCATAGTATATTGCATATAATCAGTTAGCATACAAGACATGTATGTACTTTACTGTTTTGTAATGAAAAGAAATGACACAAATGTATCATGACCACTGACAAAAATGCTAAAGCTAGGTGGCTATAGCAAGAGGACTGTGCGGTTACTGCACTTCACACCTGTATTATAGCCTGTACGAACTGATAATACTGGTAAGTAGTGACATAGTTGTTTTGCTTTCATTTTTATGCTTTTATCAAGCATACACTCCATTTACAATAGACAGCTTTAGGAAACCCCTTTTCAAATGTTTTGCGTTAAAAATAATCTAGTATGTCGCTGGTAGTTGCTGTAGTTGATGAGTGAAATGCAATAACTCAATAGAAAATAGTGGATGTTCAGCCATCTGCTATCATTTTCTCTGTACACAGTTTCTCTGTAGGAGTGAGAAATCTCAATAGCATGGAAAACAAACGTGCATTTTTTTAAATTAATGATATAGTAATGTATTAATATAGAACCACGTTTTTTAAAATAGAAAACAGCAGAATTTTAAATTCAATTAGCTTTTTACCTAAAAAGATCCAGCTTTTTGTAACCTGCTGTTCTCAGTGCTCGCTCCCAGAACAAAACACACGTTTCCTTTGCTCTCACCTCTCTCTGTTCCCGCTGTTGTTTGATTGACAGTTCCTCGCTGCGGCTCAGTTCTCGGCGTGTATTTGCGAGCTCTGCCTCGAGGTCGGCCATGCGGCCGCTGAGAGTGGCAGAGTGGTCACGGCTCTGGGCGAGCTCCTTATTGGTCCGATCCAGCAGCTCCTGAAGCTCAGACACCCGGCTGCCATCATCGTGGGCATCTATGGAGCCGTTGGGCAGTCTCTGTAAGGTGGACACACAACATTAATGGCAATATATGCACATTCTCCCATGAAATGTATTTTAGGACTGAGACACACAAGTGTGCACACTATGGGCAGAGGGTATAGGGAGTAGTTGCAGAACTGATAAAGTTGTATGACCTAGATATAAAATTGTTGGGTGTTATGCATAGGAGGGTGGGCTGTGGTAGATTAGGCTGCCATGTTGTTGTTTTGATGTTGTTTCTCTTCACAGCTCAAAGTGCATTTAATTCCAGGGCCTTAATTAAATGAGCCTATGGGGACGCATATTCAGACAGGCAACACAGTGGGCAGTGAAAGTTAGTAGGACCCCCTCCACCCATGTTCCAATTTCACCTGCTCATGAGTATAGAAACATACCCAGAAAGGGAGGGAGGGGGCTAAAGGGTCTGAGGCTGTGTAATAAAACAGCCCTGGTGATTTATGCAATTGTGCATGATTCCAGTGTAGCCATATGAACTCATTAGATTTACTCCCAGGGGTTTTGGAAATAGTATTGCACAGCCCCATGTGACTGACAGACATCAGGTACGACGTGGCCCTACAATGATTGTCTTGGTTAGGGTTCCTGCTGAAAAAGTACATGTGGTCATGATCATTTTATGGCATTTTGAATTCAATTATCCTCTTATTGCAGCATCCGGGGGCAGTAAATGTCTGCAGGGCAGCGTGTGTCGTGGATAAATGTCCTAACAGAGTTCACACTCCTCCTAACGCTCGTACTATAGCCAATTCTCTTCATTGTCTTTTCTCCCTCACTCTCTGAGGCTATTCTCTAATACAGTCTTCTTCCTGCTCTCTTCCCTTTTTCATGGTAAGTTATTGATTTCTTTTCAAGTTTGATTATTCCTTTAATCAAACGACTGTATATTGACATTTCATTTTGCCTTTTTTTCTTCTTCCTGAAGCCAAAGAAATAGGAGTGGGTTAAGTGAATCTTGTGCCGCTCCCCCAACGCTGCCGGCCTGTACAGAGGAAGGCCATTTCCATTCAGATAGAAACAGGCTCTGCTGTTTAGGGAGGTTTGTTACTCCTTGTGGACGGAACGAGACACAGTTACATAATGTGTGCCCAGTTCAGGGCTGGAATCAAACCATGGAGGACAGGGCTCGATTAAAGAGCAAGAGTTTTAATGTTATCAGAATAAACTAGAAAGGTAAAGGAGGATTCATGCTACATTTAGCACCATTAACCTCATGTATGTGTGTGTGTGTGTGTGTGAGCAGCTATGTTAATGTACTGAAGAAAGATAGAAAGAAGATGCAAAGACAGTGATTGACAGCCAGACGGACGAATACTATAGGCGGACATAAGATAAAGCACAGAGCAAAAAAACAATCACACAGCCAGGAAGACCTTCCATGTAGGTTTGGATCCATCTGTTCGCTCCACTGAGTCACCATCCTTCCTTTGTCTCACCATGTTCAACTGCAGTGTAGATTAAAAAGAAAGAACCCCCCCCAATGAGCAAACCTTCTCTTTTCTGTTTCCTTAGTGAATCCAAGAACAAAACTTCCCAAAGGGAAGCCTGGCTTCCAGGCTGCCAGCATGCTTCAGACAACATGCCCTACCATATTTTACATAACTACAAAAATGAATTAGAGGAGGGAGGGGTCGCTTCAGTGCGGGTCTGCTCCTCTTATAAAAAAAACTGTGTGATCTGTGCAACTTAACAAGCTTTGACTTCACATCTTACATAACCCACTGGGATTCTGCTTTAACTGAGCCTGCTGTGAATATTTAACATCATTTTATCTTTAGAATGAAGTCTTTGATGACATATTTAAACAGAAGAGTACAGAAGGCGAGTTTGTGCAATGCACGTGTGTGTGTGTGTGTATGAAGAGAGGGCTGAGAAGGCAGGGCCTCTCACCCAGTGTGACACTTGAAGCATATATCAGATCAGACTGGAGGCTTTAACAGATGTCTGCAAGGGACTGAACAGATGTTTCCCTTACCAATAACCACATATATTAACACGCAAACACAGTCACACACACAATCACACACACAGTCACGTTCACAAGCATTCACACACCTCACCTCTTGTGTGTTAACTGCTAGCTGTCCCTCCAGGGTGGACACCCTCTCCAGAGCCACACGAAGCCTTTCACGTACCTGACAAAACACACAAAGAACACACACATCAAGACAAAATCCAGAAACATGAGGACACGCTGCACAATCCTGGATAATATTTAGATCTGTACAGAGAGAGCGTCTCACAATTCATGTCTTAATTGACTTCGCTAGTATAGAACACAATATTGGTTACTAGAAGTTCTGAAATGGTGCCTTGGGCCCTTTATTTACCTCAACTGAAACCAAAACCAAAAAGCAGTTTTATAATTTTTCATTTCACAGCAAAACTGATTTGATCAGAATTAATTAGTGAGGAGGACAGCAATTCTGTTGAAAACACTAGGAGCGACTGGTGGCGGGCATGACCAGACTGATGGAAATACCATGTACTGAAGACACCAAAAGAGGCAATTGTTTCCCCTTTATGATTCTGTTAGTGTGTGTGCGAGTGTGTGCGTGTGTGTCCACCTTTTCATCCAGAGCCTTGTGGTGTTCAAACAGCGACTTCAGGGCTTTGAGGACCTCTACCTCGCTGGAGACTCCAGACGATGGGGGTCTCCTCACCACTGTCATCCTCAGACTGCGTTCGTGACGAGACACCAGACACTCCAGGTGCTCCAACAGCAGCTACAGCACACACACACACACACACACACACACACACACACACACACACACAC